TCTCTCTCTCTCTCTCTCTCTCTCTCTCTCAGGTTTTTCCCAGACAGGATTTCACTACGTAGCCCTGGCTATCCTGGAATTCACTCTGTAGAAAAAGCAGGCTTCAAACTCACAGAGTTCTGCCTATCTTACTTAGCCTTCCAAGTGCTAGAATTAAAAGCATGCACCACCACCACCACTTGGCTAGCATTTTTTTTTTTTTTTGGTTTGGTTTTTCGAGACAGGGTTTCTCTGTGTAGCCCTGGCTGTCCTGGAACTCACTCTGTAGACCAGGCTACCCTCGAACTCTCGAACTCAGAAATCCGCCTGCCTCTGCCTCCCAAGTGCTGGGATTAAAGGCGTGCGCCACCACCGCCCGGTTTAGCATTTTCTTTTTAATCTTAGGAGAGTTTCCTTTTGATGATCCCTCTTGATTCTGCCTTCCAAATCTCCCTCAGGTTAAAGCTCAGTACTCTAGCAGGGCACTGTGGTGTGTGCCTGGATGCCGGTAAACACCAACACATGGGAGGTGAAGGTAGGAGGATGTGGAGTCCCAGGCCAACCTGGGCTACATAGCCAGACCTTGGCCCCAGAACAAAGAACTTGGTTTCACCCAACGGCATGCATGTCTTAAATACAGCCAAACCACTCTAGTTAGGACAGACGAAACAGCTATAAATAAGTTCAAGCTAACATCTCTGGCACCACCAAGATAAAGTCCCAGGTTCACATCATTAAGGTCATAAGGACCCAACTCTTCGACTACAGCAATCAAAAGTTCTTGAGGTACAAAGTAAGGAATTATTCTATGCCATCTCTTCGCCAGAGTCCCGGTCTTGTCAAGCAACTGTGGCTGGCAAACACCCAGCAGGCCTCAGCCAGAAAAAAGGGTTTGGGAACAAACCAGCCATCCTTCCTTCCTCCCTCCACTCCTACTTAACAGGGTTTTAACCTCGCCGCCCCTACCCCTTTGTATCACTTTAAAGCACTTATTCTCCATCTGAAACGCTCACTTCTATGTTTGCTTGTTCTCCTCCTTCCAAGGGATCCACGAGGGTAGGGCACTTAGGGAACATGCAGTGCCTGGCAGCAGAGATCGCTCAATAATTGGGCACAATTCAACAAGTGAACCGTCGAAGGCCTCACTTTGTGCCAGATGCGGGGCACTGGTGGGTGACGGGGTTGGGGGGGGGGGCGTTCTCTCGCTGTAGCCAAAAATGGCACAACGAACAAGCTGGAAGCCGGGGGTGGGGGTGGAGGTCCTGCTGTTGGACCCCAAAGTAGCTTGCCACGGTTCTTCCCGCCATGAGCGCCCCCTGGCCTCGAGCCCCGCAGGCCCCGCGCTCACCCGCTGCAATTCCATCTCGATCTCGCCGGCCTTGAGCACGATGGGTCCCCGCACAGCGTACTCCACCGCCTTCACCTGCGGGTTCATGGACTCCAGGGTGAGGATGCGGTCTCGAGGGCTACGCTCCGGTCGCACCTTGAGCGCCGCCGAGGCTTCGGCTGCAGCGCTGCTGTGACTACGGCCCCAGGGGCCCGAGGCGCGGGGGCAGGAGCCCCGCCGCACCAACACCGCTGCCCGCTGCATCGCGAACCTGCTGACGTTAACCCTGGCACAGAAAGAAGGAGAACAAGACATCACGCACAGCTCCAGGTAGACACCAGTCCCCCAAGAGCCCGAGGCTCTCAGCCAGCAGCCCCAGCCTAGCTCCGGGGCTGGATTCCCATCCCCTGGTTACCGGGACCCTGCACCCTGCCACTGCAGCACCAAGACGCTACAGCGCTGGGTTGCCCGGACTGCGCCTAATGTGAGGATGCAACGTGCCTACTGCTGCCGGACCGTCTGCACCGCGCCGGTTAAGGTGAGCCTGGGCTGCTCCCAAACCTGGTGGCCGGCCACCGCATCCTGGAGCCTGGCACCCGCACCTCCTGGCTCCCTGCATTCGCACACCCACCGCCGCCGACTCCGCCTCGGGCCTGCGCGCTGACTTCTGGGTCTTGTAGTTGTCTTGGCCGTACCAACGCTGCAGTGAAGAGCCGGATAAACTACAAGTCCTCTAAAGCCTGGCGCAGGCCAGACCGGGCTGGGCAGGGGGTGGGGAGCGGTCGTCTGGGCGGGCTCTTGGTGACAGAGAATCCCTACTTTAAGGCAGCGGCTGTCCTTTCCAGAGGCTTTTGGAATTTTTTATTTGCTGCTTGGCTGCTTCTCCCTAGACGCACACCCCACCTCCCTTCACCCTCACCTCGGGACACCTACAGTGACGTGGACTGCGTGGTGATGCACTCTTCGCCTTGAGTTTCATCATCCAAGCCATATGGTTCTACTGGCCGCTCAGGGGCAGCTGGTTAGGGAGTCGAGCCACTGAAACTTGATATGCTACCCTGCCTCCTTCTCAGATTCAATGTTCTCAGAGCTCTGTGTGTGTGTGTGTGTGTGTGTTTTGCAGCACCACTCCATCTGAAGGTCCACCTCACATCCACTATCCCCATTTTCTTTCTAGCCTTCCTCGCATCTAAAATTACCTCAGCTAGATACTTCTCGAGGACTCACAAGGACAAAAACAATGTTTTCGTTTTGTTTTGTTTCTGACCGTTGTTTTCACAACATCTCTAACACATAGGCACTTAGTAAATATTTGTTGAACAATGAATACACAGGACATGGTGGTAATTACTTTGGCCAAAAGTATCCAGCCAGTAGGCCCCTGCACACGTGCATTTTGCACGTGCGGAGCACGCGTGGGACAGGGCTAGGTTGAGTGTGCAGTTGGTGCAAAGGTAGATATGTAATCTAAACAGGCTGAGGCACAAGCATCAACAAAGAGGACATGATGGAGTTGCTTTCCTTCTCTCTGCCTCAGACTCTCTGCAAAATAAATTGGGTGAAATGGCCTCCCCATTCCCTTGCTGTCTTGAACATTTTGTAATTCTGGGAGTTTTGAGGCAAAACAGCCCAGGGTTTGCACAGCCATAACATATTTGTCTTGTGAAACTTGGGAAGAGGAGACACTGGATAGACACAGCATAGGGGAGAAGTACTCTAGGAGAGACAGAAGCGGGACATGGCGCACGGGACTGAGAATAATTGCACTCAACCACTTCTGAGTCACCCGACTTTAAGCATGTCACCGTCCTCATGTGTGAAATGGAGGTAGCAGTACCTACCATGTGCAACTGAGGAGAAAGTTCTGGCGAGACTTGGCAGAACTCGGATCCCGAAGTTACACAACCCTCTTGTTGATCTCTCCTCAAGGGACTACCATACACTTTGATCAAACAAATTGATTACTCATGAGAGAGGAATGTGTCAGGGAGAACAGAAGCCAAAGAGAGCTCTGAGTGTTGCTACCTTGGTAAACTAGTCTGACTCTCAAGTCCCTGCACAGAAGTTATTTGTGTGGTATAGGAGGCCACTGCTGTCTTTCTTCTCTTACAAGGAAAGAGATGCTTTATTAAGGAAGAGAACCAAAAAAGTAGAGGCAAGCCAGGCCTTCCCTATGGCTCCCAGAAGCCAAGCAAGAAGAAAGGCTGGCTGGGCTTTTGTTTTTAATCTTATGCATACAACTGTTTTGTCTGCATGTATGTCTGTGCTCCATGTGGGTGCAGTGCTCGTGGAGGCCAGAAGAGGGCATCAGACCTCCCCTGAAATTGTAGTTGTAGACAATCGTGAGTGGCCATGTCATTGCTGGGAACCAAACCTGATTACTGCAGAAGAGCAATCAGTGCTTTTAACTACCTAGCCACCAGATATCTTTCTATTCTCATGTTTGGGCTTTTAGTTGACCAACACCTCTCTTAACAAGGTCTCCTTCTCAGCTTTTGCCTCCTTGCCCAGCATTTAGTTTCCAGATTGAAGATCCTCCCAGTGACATAGGGCCTTCAGTACTTCAGTGGTTTTCAATGTCCCATTGTCACTCACTCTGCCCCATTGAAGAGCCACACAAACACGTGCCTCCACGCCCAAACCCCACTACTATATTTGCACATGAGGTAAATTCATTCCCTCATTGCTGCGATGGTTTATATATGCTTGGGCCAGGGAGTGGCAGTATTAGGAGGCGTGGTCTTGTTGGAGTAGATGTGTCACTGTTGGTACGGGCTTAAGACCCTCATCCTAGCTGCCTGAAAGTCAGTATCTGCTAGCAGCCTTCAGATGAAGATGTAGGACTCTCAGCTCCTCCTGTACCATGCCTGCCTGGACACTGCCATGCTCCTACCTTGATGATAATGGACTGAACCTTTGATCCTGTAAACCAGCCCCATGTCTTGGACATAGTGTCTGCTGTTCACAGCAATAAAATGCTAACTAAGACACTGTCCTGTGAGTCATCTGCCATTCCAGCTTGTGCTGTCATTCCAGCTACCTCCACCCTAATCAGTAGGAATAAGGGGTGTGAGAGGAGGTCTTTCAGGAGTACCCACAAGGCCAACTGAGAAGAAACACCAAGCATGCTGCCCAGTTCACTGGCTCCCACATCGCTGTTGCAAAACACAAGTGGCTCATGTCCCTACCATACCCCGTACCACTGTGTCTATGAGATTGCATAAGAAAGTTCCCAGGCTTGGGGGTGTGACTCAGTGGTAGGTGGCCTGTCTACCATTCTTGAGGTGGGGAGGAGAGGGCACTGACCAAAACAAACCAAACCAAAAGCAAACAAGCAAAAAAGCCAACCAACCAAAACACCTCTTGTGAACCACCCTTAACTGTATACAAAGAACAAAAGGGCAAGCAATATTATTTCTACTTTCCAGAGCTTCTCGTTAAGCAACTTGTTCAGCCAGTCAGGGGAGCACAGAGTAGAAACTGTGCTTCGTAAATCAGGTGCTGGAGTCCCAGCCTTCTGCCATTATCTATGCCTGTCCCCCAGCCCACTGATTCACTGGGACTTTATGATCAATCTTGTGTAACTCTGAATTTGGAAATGCGAACCGTTGATCGCAATGCACTAAGCTTTGAAAACTTTCTTCATGGTGCATGTCACAGGGGGTGGCAAGTCCATGAACTTTGCTTTTATTTTGCTCTCCATACCCACTGCTGGCCAGGAGTAACAAGATCCGAAATATGAAGGTAAAAGTTGACTAAGTAGCTCATGAATGTCTTTCCTGTAGGCAAGATGAGTGTTCCAAACATACAACAAATGCAGTCTACCCACGCAGCTGGTCATATATTCACAAGGCTTTTTCTTCATTCCTTAATTCAATAAGGTCTTATTGGAGAAGTATCATGTACTAGGCACTGTTCTGAGTTCTAAGATATCAATCAGTGGAACAGACTGTCCCGCATAGAACAGTTTCGTAACAAAGGCAGATGCCATTGGGCTCATCACATACCCAAATGTGACGACAAACCGACAAACCGTAATGAGTGCTGGGGAGAAAGGGATGGCATTTTGTGAGTGCAAAGAAGCTGAGTGAGCGCTAACCAGATTAAGTAGCCTGTGATAAAGGACAGCAGTGCTTGGTAGTGTGTTGTTGGTGGGAGTTGGGGGAGCTTGTTGAAGCAGGAAGTAAGGTTTTAAACCTCTCATTCCCTGCCTCCCACGTCCAAGAAATAAAGTAAGGAAAACAACAAAAAAGTTCAGGTTCACTGGCATGATAACTCAAGTCTTTAATCCCAGTACTCCAGAGGCAGAGGTTGTAGCTCTCTGTGAGATTGAGGCCAGCCTGGGCTACAGCCTGGTCCAAAGCCAGCCAGAGATACTTAATAAGATCTTGTCTCAAAAGGGAGGGCTCAGCATCCTAGTAAGTTTGAGACCAGCCTGGGCTACTTGAAATCCTGCCTCAAAAACAGAAACAATAAAAGGTCAACAGGTAGGTTGGGGGCAAAAATGGCTGCCATGTAAACCTAGCAGTCTGATGGAAGGAGAGAACCGCCTCCATAAAGGTTTCCTCTGACCTCCACACATGCCCTGAGGCACCCATGCCCTCCACGTACATCACGAGCATGCATACATGTAGCAATGATTTAAAAATAAGTAAGTCTCTGCCTCCTCACATAAAGCAACACAGAGATATCTGATAAAGGGTTAATACCCAGATATCCAAGAAACGGAGGGACTGTATTAGTCAGGGTTCTCTGGAGTCACAGAACTTACGGGTAGTCTCTGTATAGTAAGGGAATAGTAAGTTGATGGCTTATAGTCTGTAGCCCAGCAGCAGCTGTGAATGGAAGTTCAAGGATCTAGCAGTTGTTCAGTCCCACGAGGCAAGCAGGCTAAGAAGAATGAGCCTTCCTTCTTCCAATGTTCTTACATAGGTCTCCAGCAGAAGGTAGGGCCCAGATTAAAGGTGTGAACCGACAGGCCTGCATCTGGGACTTGCCTTAGTCTCCTGGGATTAAAGGCGTGTACTACCTTGCGTGGGCTGGGCCTAAGCTTTTCATAACTACTATGCCTCAAGATCAGGATCACAGGTGAGCCTTCCAATTCTGGATTGTAGTTCATTCCAGTTATAGTCAAGTCAACAAGCAAGAAAAGCTGCCACAGGGGCCAAAAAAAAAAAAATGCTGATTTGAAAATGGGACAAGCTGCCTAGTCAGATTAACTGTGTCACCAAGATTTGGGGTCAACTGAGAGTCCCTTTCTCAATGGATATGGTCAAGAG